ATCTTTCGCCGGATAACTCTCTGATCTCGATCTGAGTCCCTGAACAATATCCGCCTGGGCCAACCAAGCCTTCCATCCCTCCGGGGTCGGTTAATGGGTACCAGTCTCGTCTGGAAGGATCAGAGCACTGACTTGTACATCGGCTGGCCACTGCAAGTCATTATATAGGTTACATACGCGTGCAATCCACCATATTGATTCTGAATGGAAGTCGAATATGGGGCGCATCCCTCAGACGGGACTGATCAACTTCAAAAGATTTTCTTCTTTCATCCTTCTACTCTCTGATACTACATGGTTTTATTACAAGAACACTCACCATGACTCCTATCCAAGTTGCCAAAAATTTTTTCAAACCTATATAATGTAATAGAGGGCTGAAAAAACTAGCAATTCCAAGGCATCCTGATCAAATAAATAGCTACTGGATTGTGAAAACAACTTTGTTGAACTTTTTTAAGCATGTAGATACCTTCAAGAACCTAGATGGTCTACGGCTTTCAAGGCAAAAATGACTAATCGAGGATTGCATGTGCCTTTATTCGGAAAAAAGAGTTCACCAAGACCACCCATTTACTGGGTATTACTCATTCACACTCAGCGCTGGTGAGAAAGAGATCCCAATCCTTATAGAGAAAGCGCTTGGTGTCGACAAGTCCCTCTGTGCCAACCCCTTGCCTGATCATTCAGAAAAAAATAATCGGCTGAATTGGCCAAGCCAAGTGACATTCGAAACCTTATTTTCATTCCCTCAGCTTAGATGAAGACAACTGGTCCCAACTAATTTTGATCTCTGAAAGTTGCTGGTCTTGTTACTTTGCATAGCCACTACTCCACGTAGTACCTCGCCGCCGTGGATAGTATTTACAAGTACGTGGAAATTGCATCACAACTGTGATGTAGTACTCGGAATATGGTTTTAGGGAGAAACCGTTCTCAGAGCTCTAATTAAATTTCCCAAACTTGATCGTTGAACCGGTTTGGGACTGCAAAGAAATGGTAACTTGATAAGGATCTTTTTTGTTATACGGTTTCTCTTCCTTAGCACCACATTAATGGAGGGCTTAGCAAGGGTCGTACATTTTCGCATCTATTCGACAAAAATCAACTGAATAAAAAAATATTTAGGAAATCTTGCGTGATTTGCTGTGTACTAGGTTAGTTCCCGGTTATTCATAATGAAAGAGCTCTCACATCTCGTTTACTCCTACTCCTCTCGCTCAGATTGCTTCCGGATTCATTGAAGAAATCAAATGGAGCGGTTACTAGTTCTCCTTCCAACTTTCCGTGGAATCCTTTGCTCAGAAGATGACTAAAATCATCTTTTTTCAAATACTCCCGTTCAAGACATTATATAATCCCTGAATAAGGACATGTGTGTGTCCAGAGGAATCAGTCTGTAAGTTTATATTTACCTCAACAAAACTTCCTTCCGTGAAAAATCTTTGTGTAAGTACTACTAGACAGAGAAACGTGTGTATCAATCACATGCTGAAAGGCCGCCCATACTATGGTTAACAAAATCGTGCACAATCTGTTCCAACAGACCCAACTCTAGTAGGGTATGTGTACGAACGTGCGTCCGAGGATGCGCGCGGCAAATTACGCGACGAAGTTCATAACGATTTGAACGACTTTCGCGCCTATCATTGGGGCCCAAATTTGAAGTTGAGTAGAATAGAAGGATCATCTGACTCTACTAAACTACTCTACATCGAGTTTGTGCCACGAAAATTGGCGGCAGAGTCGTACAAATCATCACGCACTTCGCCGCGCAAGTTGCCGCGCGCATACTCGGACGCACGTTCGTCCCGTCCCCCACTCTAGTATTCTGTTGCAGCGTGGTAACGTTAGACCTTGGAATCAATGGCTAATATTCTCCTTACTCATCCAGGACAAGCAAGGACCTCCCTAAGGGGTCGATTGAATGGCACCGAGCTAGTGCGGGAGGATGCAGCACTTTTCATCGGCTGGCCCCAGCAAGTCATTGTGTAGCACACATATTCAATCGCCGTTTTGATTATAAATAGAAATGGAATGTTCGGGTCTGTCCCAAAAGGGAATGGATTAACGCCTTACTCTTCACAATCGAAGGTCTGGTTAAAAAGTAAGGTGATTCCCTGTTCTTCTGTTGCGATCACGAAGTAAGGGATGGAAGCTTACATTAACCGAATGCATACGACAGTAATCAAACTTACCTACGACGGTTGCCTTACTCTCATTTCACCCTCCTTCCATTTACCCCGAAAACTCTTTGAATCAGTTACGCTCTCGACGCATTGTTCTGCATATTGAAGGCACACTTCACTTTTTATACAAAAACCGGAAGTATGGGTTAGGAACGGATGTGTGGCGATTCGTGCGATTGTGGGTGCGCACGGCAAATTGCGCGGCGAAAATTGGTTTAATTTGAACGACTGCAGCGTTTATCATTAGGGCCCAAATTTCAAGTAAAGTAGATGAGTAGAATTGTCCGACCCTATTAAAGTACTCTACTTCAAGTTTGTGCCCCAATGGTAGGCGCCGGAGTTGTTTGAATCATCGCGAATTTCGCNGCGCAATTTGCCGCGCGCACCCAGAATCGCACGAATCGAACGTCCCCCGGTTCATCTGTAGTGGAGAAAGTGAGAAGTCTTTCAGTTCTGAGATAATAAAGGTTCTCGCCGATTTTGAGGTAACCATGGCTCCATAAAAGTAGTGAAAATAGAAGTTGGACGAGATCGCCAAAACGGAAATAACATGAAAGGGATGTTCGGACGAGATTCCAACTGTTGCAATCGCGCAAAGAGCTGACTACATCAAGACAGAACTGTACAGAACTACCTTCCACTACTGCTATGAATCATAACGAGTTGCTCGAGCCTCCTACACGGGGCCCCTTGTATATGGTTCGGCCTTTGCCATGCTGGTGAGACTCGTCTGAGGATACACACGATACAAACTTTGAACGCCCTAAGTAGGCCTTCTTTCGACCTGATGGCGCCAGATGTGGTATACGAGGGGCCTCGTATTCATCGCATGGGAAAATCTTAAAAACCATTTTTATCGCGAACAGTGCCTCTAAGTGGATGAGAGAAGGGACTTACTCATGTGTAGATAGTAAGGCTAGAGTCGTGTCCATTATTCGAAGGTGACGTGCTAAATTCGCGTCCACAGCGAAAACTTTTGCTTCGTCGCTGGAAAATTCGGCACAATTTAGACCTCATACAAGGCTTAAGATGGAATTTTTTCGCCGAAACTTGGTGGGGAAGGCAGCTCAGATTGCACTCTACAACTCGGGAAGTAAAAGCGTACAACAGATTGACGCTGAATACATTAAACTTTCTCCTCGTTATGAAGGTTTAGCCATGAACCCACAATTTTTCGAAAATTGCAGGAACGACTGATCACACCTATATCGTCCCTTCGAAATGAGAAGGTTCGCCCGAAAACAAAACTTCACACACTAGAACCTTTTAGTCACATTCAGGGTTAGGGTGAGTAGGACAATTTATTCTAAATGGCAATGTAAGCTACCGGAATATCTTTTGAAATAGCCGTTTTTTCTCATCTTCGTTGACTTTTGACAGCAATGCCATCCACGTATGACTTTCACCAGGTTTCATGAGCAACTGTTTCCCTAAACTCGTAGTTTACATAAACGCAACCTAAAATTCAGGTTTCATGGGCAGGACAGATACTGAGCCTATCTATCCGCTCTATACGAAGCACCGACACAAGGCTAGTAAAAGGACAAACACGCGTCCGAAACGAGACAAACCAAAGCCAAGGAACAGGCAGGGAAAAGGACACCCACATCATCCTGAGANGCCATCCACGTATGACTTTCACCAGGTTTCATGAGCAACTGTTTCCCTAAACTCGTAGTTTACATAAACGCAACCTAAAATTCAGGTTTCATGGGCCGGACAGATACCGAGCCTATCTATTCGTCCTACACGAAGCACCGATACAAGGCTAGTAAGAGGACGAACACGCGTCCGAAACGAGTCAAACCAAAGCCAAGGAACAGGCAGGGAAAAGGGAACCCACGTCATCCTGAGAATTAAATAGTTTCCAATTTCTGCCAATATGCTAGAGGATAAGTATCAAAAGGATCGATGAACTCGTGAAGTCAGGAGTCAAGGTTCCAATTGGTACCGTCCAATTACGGTAAGCTTCCGATGAATTATCTGTTTGAAATCGGACCAGTTCGGGAGAACAGTGCTTCTGCTGATCTGTACTAACCACAGATGAAACCACGTATGTGTTTAAATGCTATTATACAATTCTAAAAGCCTCATCCAATCGGCACATCATGGTGAGTCTGTAAGTTGCACAGAACGAAAAAGATCTCACATTGATCGCTGAACATTCGATTTGGTCTGGGCACTTCGCCTCGATTATGCCACGCGGGATATCCTTGCGTCTGCTGACAAAGATTTTTATCACTGAAACTAGGTACTTTTTCAATAATGAACAAAGTACATATTTACATCTATAAATATGAACAAAATGATTGTAAAGTGCTGCAAAGCCGTAAGACAGCTCCATGAACTAAACTATGATTGCCCTTTCAAGAAAGATATGTATGTAGTTGTCCTTGTGATGTGATATTCGCGAAGGCTGTATTTAAACTTTCGAAGATGGAGTCGTACTTTCGTAGAGAGTAAAGGGATCGCACTAAACTACCTGATGTATCCCCTGTCACCCCTGTCAATGGGCTGAAGGCACAGTTTACAATTAAAGCGGTTTCTCCTCCCCTAGGAATATCCAGTGGTCTCCAAGAGTCACAGGAAGGACGCTGTCGAGTCCCAAAGCTCAGCAGCTAGGGCATAGTGTGAGCCCCGTTAGCGATCGCCCGGATTTCCCGCCCCCCGATTAATTTCACCCTAGACGAGCGTCGAGGCGATACAGATTGCAATGTTCGCTCTAGGACCCACACAATCAGCTGATTGCCGAGTAATGAGACAATACTTTTCTCCTATTATTTTATGCTCTGTGATCCTTTATTCAATTTCCTCCTCCTAAAGGCTGGAAAAGGTGCGCTTCTTTTGCTGTTACTTGGGTTTTTTGTTATTTTTTTCTTTTTCGTCTGACGCTCTCTCCAGCGAGATAGTAGTGGGCCTGAATCTGAAAAGGAATGGTGAGAATGCACTGATGTTTCCGCTCCCAGCACTCGCATGTATCTGGAAATTCTGGGCACTGTCTGGTCTAGGGGGCGCTGAATGATGCTGAGTGCATGCTCACCAACTTTCTATAGACTTCAAGCCTCTGAAGCACTAAACAATGCAGGAAAACCCATACAGTCGATGTTCTTGGTGATGTTCTTCACGTTGTACACTTTCTTGGGCTCCGAGGTAGTTCACTATGTGTTGACTTCTCGACAGAAGTGCGTATAGATAGAGTTTTCGTAGAAGTTCATTCCGTCGTGGGAAAAAGAAGCATCAGGAGTCATTCCGTTCTCAAAAACATCGTCTTCCATGGGTTCAGTTGCAAGCCGATCTGCTTACAAGCCTCTCTTCCAGGAAGCCTTAACTTCTATGGATTTGATCGATCCTACTGTACTCTTGAGAGTTCTGCTTGCACGTTTGGCTCTTTTCCATACGGTGCCAGCAGGAAACAATGAGATTTTTTGTTTGTAGCAGGTACCTTGCACTTTGTGGAATACCACATTAAGAGGCGAGCCTGATTTTGAGGTCGGCACTCTTCAGAGACTTCTCATCGCTTCTCTGCTTATTTTCGCGAATTCGGCCCTTGGTAAATGCCTGTACTTTTCGCGATTGTGCACCGGATTATCGGATTGATGATTTTCAAGGTGAGGTTGTTCAAGCGGTGCCATATAACTTATTTTAAAGTGTTACGCAGCTAAATCTACGTATGTATCAGTATATTATTATATCTATTTTCCATTTCGCTTATGTAAGCAGTTTTTAGTCTCATTGAGCTTATCTGAATAGGACTTACAGATCGACCATAACTGCGACACTGGCTCCACCCAATCCACCCCGATGTGGTGCGCTCTTCATTAAACACAATGACATGGCGAATGCTATTCCGTAAGTGGAATGATCTTCAAGATAGAGTGTCCTGAAAGGGAAGAGAATTTTTAGAGGAGCATCTTTCTACATGAGCTTGGTACATGCATGGCGGTGCTAGCACAGTTCCGGATCCATTCATGAGTTTCGCCCCACTAATTGCAAAAGGCTCTCAAGAAAATGCGAAAAGGAAGTGTTAGCACTTCAGATCACATTTAAGTATTTCTCCTGTCTTAACATCTCTGAATTAGTAAGAACCACCCAACTTGCTTCCTCGTTGCACGATTCAGAATTCGAAGACACTGCGAATTCCTTGAATTTGTAGCTGGTGGGCTCTGGTCGAAATATCCACGGCTCTACCTATAGAAATTTGTGTGACATGACTACGTTCTTCATCAGTATTGCTGATAAGCATCTGGAAGAGATTTCTTTGGTGGAAGTAGGTTAGTGAAAGTCGTCGCCTACACCGAAGTTCCAATCTCTTACAATAAGACGTAGCCTCTTTAGTCAGATACGGTAGAGTTACCAATTTTAGCGGATTTATCTCTTCAAGATCCTCTTCAAGATCTTTTTGTATGGCTATAGTCTCATGTGTCCATGGTGAGTTTCACACTGAACAAGCTTGGCGGACTGCTGTCGGGCGTCCGACATAAAGAAGTTCATGAAGCGCGACTATTCCTTGATAGATGTCTCATCGCTGGATGACGGTACTACTCCCCGAACTCCTAGAGCAAACGGCATTGGTCCTACGCCCACTGGGACTTCAAGTAGTCCCTTCCATAGCGCGCGATCGGATGCGGCGTGCGCGGCTTGATTTTCGGGAAAAGTTACTGGAAAATATTGGATATTACTTAATGATCAATATTACCACGCAGGAGCCTCGAAAGTACAGTTCACGATAAAAAAGGTTCCCGAGACTTCTTCCTAAGATGAGCATGCGACTCAAGGACAGCGCAAGACACGCCGTTTTCCGGTCCTCAAGGGCTCATGAAGCGCGACTATTCCTTGACCACAAGGGTCAAAAAACGGCACGACGTATTAAGACTCTTAAAATCGCTTTAGCAGATGCCGATACGCAGTCGAAGAGGACGAGACACCTGGACGAACACCTCCCACCCAGGTTTACTGTAGCTGTACGAAACAGCGCCCACACTCTTAAAGCGCGCCCAAATACCTCTTTCATGCAAATTTTCCTACATTAGAACTCACATTCTCGTTCAACCCCCAATTTGACTGCATTCATGAAAAACTATACCCTTCTAAATAAACCGACGCTCGAGTTTTCTTCGCTACTGTTGTACGACTCTGAACTGCCGCGTCCGTTATCCGTCTTAAAGGCACAGTTCACGATAATAGAGATTTATCGTGTGAATGTCACACCCATACTGGACGAGTTTCAGCGGCGTTGTGGATCAAGAGACACACATGTAGGAAATAAACAACTGTTGTTGTTAACTTGCCATAACCCATGGCCACAGTGAAAAGGGGTTTCGGACAGCTCTGGCTCGATGTGGTCAGCTCTTTGCGCAATGGAAGCAAGTTAAATCTCGTCCAACCACCCCTTGCATGAAGTGCATGTCGTTTGGCGCGATCCCTCCCATCGCGCCGCCCATTCGACGCTGTTTGCGAGCTGGAAAATTCGTCCAATTTATCGAGCAACCCACTGCCCATCCAGCTCATAGAAGTCCGATCAATGAAGCCACGCTCACAGGCAGAATATAAAGAGGTCCACCATCCGGCGTCGGGTATGTGTACGAACGTGCGTCCGAGGATGCGCGCGGCAAATTGCGAAGGCGAAGTTCGTAATGATTTGAACGACTTTGGTGCCTATCATTGGGGCCCATATTTGAGAAGGAGTGGATTATGAGAATCATCTGACCCTACTAAACTATACTGCTTCGAGTTTGTGCCCCGAAAATTGGCACCGCAGTCGTACAAATAGTCACGAACTTCGCCGCGCAATTTGCCGCGCACAACCTCGGACGCACGTTCGTACCGTCCCCCTCCGGCGTCTAATAGTGGC